AATACAACCATCCCCAGAATCAAGCGGGGGAGCATAGGAGGCATCTTCATCGGATGATGAAGATGATGATGATGATGATGACACTCCTCGTGCATCCCCCGACCCTACTCAACAAAATCCCCCTCCCTCTTCCCAAAGGGCAACCACCAGATCTACCCCTGGCGATCAAGGCCAAAGGGGTATTGAACAAGGACGGCCCAGTCCAACCCAAACTAGCCATCCATAGGCCATTCTTCGGGCCTCTGGAGATGCTTTACCTGAGGAACCCCAACTTCCATCGCCCCTCTCCCAACAGAGAGGCGATGAAGACATAAGAGCCTCATTGCCTCAAGGCTCGACAGTACCACCCACACACCCAGAAGCATTTGTTGCTTCTGCCATTGATGAACCCCAAGATCGTTCAGAGCGATCTTCCTTTTGTGCACCACAACCCCCATCGATACTTGATCTAGCGAAGGGGAAACACACTTACTTCTCTTACCCGGCCTCTGAAGTCGAGGAAGAAGAAGAAGTTGTCGCAACATCTGGAGATAGCTCCTCACTTCAGGGCTATCAAGGACATGATGGAAGTCCTTCAAGGCCTACATTTTCACAAGGCATTGAAGGCGCCTCAGGAGCAGAGGTTCAACCTGTAGCATCCGTTGCTGCAGGGGTTACCCCAACTGCAGAACTGGTTACAAAGGCTGAGTTCCAAGCCTTAGTTGACTTAGTTCAGCGGTCCTTGGAAGACCTAAAACTCATCATCCAAGGGATTGTTGACAACCCACCATCAATCGATACCTCCACCCTTCACCAATCTCTTGGCACCCTTCAACAGACCCTCACCACCCTTGCCACCCAAACCAGAGACAATACCACCCGTCTCTAAATGCTTCAACAAACCGTCACCCAACACCACAACACCACCTCCTCCCTTGCCATCCAAATAAATCAACTCCTCATCCACTCAATCGCCACTCTCACGGCCCAGGCACTGTGACCGATGAGACCATAGCCACCATAACCACCCAAATAAACACCATCTTCCAAACCCTCAACGCTCTACCCGCTACAATCATCACCCAACTCCCTCAACCAATACCTCCATAAATATCTTCATTAATCAATGAAATCCTAGCCTCTCTCACCACCCAAATGACCACCATACAAACCACCCTCACCCAACTCCCAGCCACTATACTAGTCAACATACCCCAACCTCCACCACCTCCACCTCCCTCTGCAGGCCCATCATTCGATGCAGCCTTCTCCTCATTCACTGTAGAGGTAAGATCAGGCATAGATTTTGCCACCAGAGCCGACCTTTAGGCTCTGTCCAAGGCACTTATCTCATCGTTCGATGAGATAAGTGCAAAGTTTGCCGCTAGATCGGTTGAGCCTACCATTGCACTGAGGAAGAGTCTTCAACAAAAGCAAGATCAAACCAACACTCTCCTTCGCACCATGGAACAACGGCGCAACAAGGATCGGGTGCGCACTTTGGCCGACCACATACGGGTTTGGAAGAAGAATGGGTCAAAGGCTCTTGCTCATCAAGCCACCCCTTCAAACGACGAAGGCATGAGGATCTAGACCCCGATAATCAAGGTCTCGGTCCTCATGAGGGGGAGAAACAAGCCACCGCTCCACAAGCAATGGAGTCCGCTGCACCCTCAACATCCCATCACCAACAACAAAATCCACCATCTCCATTACCTCAAACACAACAATCTCCATCAACCCAAACAAGGGAACCAGAGGCTCAGCCCTCTGAAGATGTACTTAATGTACATGTTCCCCTTGCCACCATACCTAAACCCATCGTGTTGAGTTCCTCAACCGATGAAAATCCATCCACCCCACCAACAGAAACCAACCCACCTTTCACTCCCTCACCAACTCGAGACCCACCATTAACCCCATCACCAACCCCTAGCAATAAACAACCTTTCATCATCCAACCCGATAAACCTAAGCCAACCCAAAAAACCATCCCATTACCAACCGATACACAACCCACTACCCAAACACACCTCCCAACTGATACACAACCAATAACCCAAACTCAACCCCCAATCGAACCAACCACGGTGCAAGCTGACATTCCCTCTTCATCTAGGCATCTTCCACAGAGCCTAGTCGATGAAATAATACATAACATGGAGTCGCTAAGGAGACGTCCAGAGATACCACCAAGGGAACCCATCATGATGGAGAATATCCATCAATACATGTACCATAAACATGATGAAAGCCTGTCCCTCAATCCTCCAGTTCTTTCACCAGAATCCATGGACCTCCTACATCATCGATTTGTTAGACATACTACCCAACCACCACAAGCTGTCTTCTCAAACGATGGGATAAGGAAGGTAATGGATATAAAAATGAGGACATTCGCCAACAGAGCAATAAGATATATCAAGTACATGGTGGAGAGAGCTTATGGTTAGGTTAGCATCTTCAACGATAATGACTTGATCAATTTCAACCCCTACGACTTGATCGAACTTTATGCATTCACAGCTCAGCGACAGGATCAAGGAATAAGATTTGGGGTGGCAAACAGAGCGATAGTGAAGACGATAGAGGCCCTGGTGAAGCACAAAGCCAAGAGTGATTTTCAAATTGCTCTACATTTGGGTATCGAAAGACTCTCCTGCACCCCATCGAATGAAGACTTTCCTGGCCTGCAGGAGAAGAGATCTGCCTTTGTCTTAACTCAACCTGAGCTTGGACTTGTCTTCAAGAATGAGTTCGGGGTAAAGAAATTCTTTAGACTAACTGAAGCCTTCAAGTATTCAACTGATACACTTGAGTGGTTTCAGAAGGTTATCAGAGAAAGACTCGGCAGATCTCATGTGCCAAGAGAAGATGGGAATCAACTCATTCATGAGATATCGACAGTCCTTAGTTATCAAAGATTGCTCATGTGCTTTTGGGATATATCTCAAGGTAAATCATGAATGGAGTTTTAAAAAAAATTTCCTTTATGAAATGTCTTTTGCTTCCAGTATTGTAAGAATTCATCATCCAATGAAAATTTGGAATCTGATGCTTTTCTTTAGATTAGTCTCTGTTCTTCAAAATTGTTCATAGATTAGTTTATGTTTGTTCTTTCATTACTTAGGGGGAGATTGTTAGACCCCATAATTAATAAGTGTAAAAGTAATGAAGAACGATAAGTGATGAAGAACCAGACCGATGAAGACAATAAGGCAGAATTGACTAAGTCTAAAGAACAACCAGAGATGCAATGGAAATAGCATTTTCATCAGTCCTCTGGTCAACAACACTTAGAGTTTTCTTCAGAAATTCAACCTGAGGCTTACGTTGAAGATATAAAGATAAGGTTGAATCGCCATCCCATGAAAGGCAGCTGGAGATGACAAATCAACAGCTGGATTACAAGTTTATCTTAATTTATTGCTTATCCATAGTTTAGATAAACTTTATCCGTTAGTAGAAGATTAGCTAAATAGTCTCACTAAATAGTTATCTTCTAATTAGCCTTCTAGTATAAATAGGTGATTAGGCCTATTGTTAAAAATGTCGCTTTACGTTTTCATATTGAATAAAGTGAATTTATTGGCACTCAAGATTGTTCTTTGAATGTTCATACATTGTTTTTGAGTGTTCATCATTTTGTTCATTAAAACGCTATAATTTGGTTATTCTTAACTGGATTATTAGTGTTATTGAGAGATTTGGGATCAACAATATTTCAATAGTATCACCAGCAGAAGGAACCCTAGGAATTAGGGTTGTGAGTACATATGGACCATTGAGAATTGACTCGTACAGTTTATGGTGAAGACCTTCATAGAAGTTTATCATCCTTATCTTCCATTGGGGATATTCTTCCCAAATGAGAGTAGGAGGTTTTGTGAGGGAACCAACATTATACATAGAGTTCCACGAGTGATTATACATTTCGTAAAAAGTTCTGTAAGGAAGTTTGACAGAAAGGTGAAAATGTTGAGTTTCTGAAACTGGAAGTTTTGAAGATTACGTAAAGCAAACGTTTTTGAAAGAAGTTGATCTTAGATCGACATGAAATGCGTTTTAAAAACGAATAACAAATTAAAGAGGAATATCCTTTTTAGATATAGATCGACTAATTAACTATCTGATTAGAAGGCTCTGATACCAATTGTTGGAACCCAGATTCCTCTTAATTAGCAAGAAGCACAGTAAAATTAGAGTACGAATTACATCATGACTATGCAACTGAAATGGTTTAACAAAATATACAAGACGAAAGTAAAGAATGTAAAATAAGCTTGAATAAGTCGGAAGCTTTTATTAGATTTTCGAGTAGTAACAGAAAAACTCTCAATCTAATTGTATTCTCACAAGAACTCTCTATTATGGAGCGTAGTCTAATTTGGCACTTTCAGGTAACTTGTAACCTGAGGAGGATGCCTCTTTTTATATGACCAAGCTAAACAGAATCTCCCAGAATATTGGCTTCGAACTCTGAGTTCTTGTTCTACGTTCTATGTTCTTAGCATTCACATTCCTTAGAAAGTGGAGCGAATGGAGTCAAGCGTTCTAGATTCTGTTAGAAGTCTTGCGGAAAAGTCTAAACCGAGCGCGCAAACCATGGGAGTAGGAGACTCAGAGGCTCTGCATGTACCATGCAGAGGCTCTGTGTCTTGAGCCATGCTCTGTATCAAGTACTTAACCTTTTTGACACTTAAATCTTGATCTTTCCCGAGGTAGAGCATGGGCTCTGTATATGAGACACTTAGTTCTTTAAGTAAGAGCTTTGTCTCTTGATATCTTCTGCTTAAGAGGTCTTCGTCCAGACATCTTCAAAAGACTAAGTCCTAACGACTAGAGTAAGAGGCTTCTTACTTAAAATTTTACATCTACGCACCAACGCTAAGGCTATCTCTGCTCTAACCAACAAAGCTGATGAAGTGAATGCTCAGCTTGCCAGGCATGGTGAGTTGTTGCAGCAAATACTAGAGCTCCTTCAACCTCCACTACCAGCTCCTATGCCCTCCTTCACAGTGATGGATTGCCTCACGTTGGATCAGACTCTCGAAGGCGTTCTTCTTCAAGCTAGATCGCTGAGCGAGCTTGAACAGCGGATGGACATCATAGCACTGAGTCTTGATAACCTCTTCTCTAGTCATGCTGATGACAAAGAGGAGGTGAAAGATTTGGATTTTGTTGCTGCTATTGTCCTTACAACTGAAGTTGAAGTTGATGCTCCTAGAGCTGAAGCTAATAAAGCCGAGGTTGTTGATGAAAACATCACTTCCCAAGAAGCTAATGAAGCTGAGGTCGTTGATGTTTCCGTCAGAGCTGATGCTGAAGCTCATGACGAAGACCTTCTTATCACCCTGTAGCTGATGCTGGTGATGAGGAAGATGATGATGAAGATGATGACAATGAAGATGACCATGACTCTCCAACCCTTCAAGATGCTGGAAAGGATCTCGGTGGTGATGATGATGAAGATGATAATGATGAAGACTTCACAATTCAGTACCACAAACCTGCCAATGCTGTAAAAGGAGTCTCTCTTAGGGATTCTTCATCCGAGGAGGAGAAAGAGAAAGAAAAAGAGAAGGAGACTTCCACAAAGAACCAGGACACTGCATCGAAAGACAAGGGTGTTGCTGAAGAAGGAAATCTCAAGGTTCTCTTCAAATCTATAGTGCCTCAAAGTACAGAATCCTCCAGGTTTGCAATAGTCACTTCCTTTTCTCAACTATCTTATATTCCTTCTACTACCTGTGGTCGGCTAGAGGAATCGGCTAGAGGAATGGGTACCTGAGAACCCAACCTCTAGTGTTCCTAGCGACCAACAGATGACTCAACTTAAGAAGTCACTCGACCAAACTTGAGTAAAAATTCATCTTCGTACCTTTAGTTGTGGTGCATTTGAGTCCCTATCTGAAGCTGAAAGACTTGAGGCACTTAAGACAGAGGAAGAACTCAATCTTCAACGACAACAGACTGAGGACAACCTAAAGCTGACCAAGTCTCTTGTTGGTCAAGTTCTTCCAAACAAGTCATCTAAAAAGATGGTGAACGCTGTCAAGGCCCAAGCTAAGTTGTTTTCCATTACAGAGGCTGAACGTGAAAAGGCAATGATGCTGAACGACCGAGATAGAAAATGGAGCGAAGATCGTCTGAATAAGAGAATAAGTCCTCACCATATCTCAAACATCATAATCAATGGACGGATGAAAGATGGTGGACTTCTCATCTCAATGCTCATCACCAGAGACAACCTTGAAGTTGTCACAGAGTATCCTTCCTACCTAGGACAATACGGCTACATTAAATGGCTGGAAATCTGCCAAGCCATTCAGCGCTCAAAGTCAAGGCACAAACCAATGATTTTGAGACATCCTCAGCGAGCTGATCAAGAAGATGTCTAAATTCGTTGGTGTACCTACAAAGTCGTCATTGAAGAAAGATGGAAGAAGAAAACCTTCAAGTTCTAACAATGGACCAACTCAGAGGAATGAACATGAAACAAAGTTCTCCTTGGACGAAGTCCTGAAGGATTCAAAGAAGCCAGACATCTCCATGTTGAACCTTTCTTTTTCCAGCAAAGGGTCCTTACATACCCAACACTGTGCATCTAAAGCCTGAGTTTGGATTTATTTTTCTTGACTATGAAGGCGAACACAGCTTCCAGAGAGTGTCTGAGTTTAATCTTTGTCCTATGGAACATCTTGTGTTGGACCTTAAATTCAGCTTTGATATTGATCTAATACTCTGAATGAACTCTAAGACGATTAAAGTGCAGTGAAAACAATAATAAGAACAGAACAAAGTAAATAAATCAAGAACACACAGTCAAGATGAGGAAGAAAATGAATGCAGGAGAATTGCTTCAAAGGTTTTTCAATTCATTCAATTGAAAAATTAGACGATTACAATACTAGAAGCACCACCAATTACAAAGGCCTTAGCCGCTATTTATACTAGTTCCTAACGACCTTAGAGACCAGATCTTGACGCGTGTCTTCATCTGAGCCGTCCAAATAAAGTCGATTATTCCCTAGTCACGTGAGAAGCATATGCGGCTAACAACCTTGGAAAACTGGTGGAACAAAAACTTCACAGAAGACGAAATCCACAGACCCTTTGTGAGCCATCTCAGAGGCTCTGCTGTAATTACTTGCATGTTCTATTGACAGATGACCATTTTCCAGAACCTCTGTGAGAGACATCAGAGGTTCTGGCATAATTCACTTGTTTGATCAAACTGCTTCTGTCGCTTAGTCCTCTGTTGTCTTCTGTGGAGTTATGCTTCTGTCAAGACTTGCAGTATACTTTTTCTATACTTTTACAAAATAGGAATAATTGAGCTAACAATCTCCCCCTAAGTATGAAAAAGTAATTTTGGACAGATGGGTGCAAGAATTGACTTATGAAAAAAATACAAGAGGAGATTAATCTCATCCTCTGAAAAAGAATTACAATACTGAAAGAATTAAAAGATTGTTGCGGGCCTATACTATTACAAGAGATTACTCCACAGCAGAGTTTGGAAAATCGTCTACGACATATTGCAGGTCAGACTTGACAGTCTTGTAGACCTTGAAAATCCATTCTCTGAAGAAGACTTATATCTTGATTGTTTCCAAAAGGTTGGTCACTTCATCTGCCCTTATTCTCCCCTTCTGCACCTCTGTCACCACTAAGTTGAACACCCACTCGAGAGACTCTGTGGAATACTTGTGCGTCTCTTTTGGATCAAAGAACCTTAGAATCTCATCCTTGTCCAAGAAAACAAACCCAAAGATGGGATTGTGGACAATGGTGTTGGAATGAAATCTAAGCAGCCAACTTGGTCTGTTCTTTGGAGGAGAATTTTCAGATTTGGCTGGGCCAACCTCATAGCAATGTCGAAATCTTTCTGGCTGTAGAATTTGACTTGAGCCCACATTACCTCAATCAGCCTTCTGAGAGAAATCGAATATGTTGACCTCCTCTCCATATATTTGTTTAAGATCTTGTGTAAGAAAATTAGGTCAAATACGTAGAGGTTGTGAAGGTCAGCATCTGTGAAAGAGTAAAGGTTGCCATCATCCCTTTTCACCATGTATTGAGTGTATAGCACAGTCTTCTTTAGCATAGTGCGCAGAGAAATGGTTTCGAGTGAAGTGATCACATGCTCTGAGAAGACCTGCTCTTATGGCCTGGTGAGTTTTGAGAAGTGGAACTTTTCAATGGCAGAGGGTATTCCTGTTAGCTCTGGGTCATAAGGGGGCTCTGTGTTCATCGATGAGTAACGCCACCACAGAATCTCCTCAACAGTGGTTACGGGCTCTGTGCGCACTCTTTGTGTAGGAATCTTGTTCATGGATTCAATGATCTCAGATACCCTCCCCACCATGGCAGACTCTGGCGTTCTGGATTCTTCTTCTAGTATAGGCCTATGAGTAGACCCCTCTGGTAGGATTGGCTTGACAGTTCCTACCAAAGCGTCAAACGTACCCATGGATATTTCTTCCGGTATTTTTGCAAGTTTGGAAGAAGAGCCTTCTTCGACTCTGGGGATGGGGGCTCTGCCCTTTTTCGCCTGTGCCTCTGCCAAAGAAGCCTTTAGTGCTCGAACAAGATCAGGGTCATCATATTCTTCTTCATTGATTTCCTCCGACGTGTCAAAGCTTGACCCCTTCTGTGGTGACTCCTCTACTGCTTTACCCTTGCCTTTCCCCTTAGGCTCTGGAGATTTGTCTTTTGAGAATAGGGCAGCAGCAGAGTCCACTATTTTTAGTGGTTTGGCAGAGGTTGTCTTCTTTGGTTCTGTCTTTTTCTCCCCCTCATGATGATCAGGGTCATTGCCTCCCTGATCATCATGGATTTGAGTGGCTTCTGTCTTGCATGTAGTGAGGGGAGCCTTCTTCAATCGCCTTAGAACTTTGGAAGCCGCCTTATCCATCTTTTCAATGACCATCTCAGCATTCACAGAGGCATTGTTGATGCCCATCTCTGTGGCCCATTTCATTTTAGAGATGCAACGATAGATCTTATTTCTGAAGTTGTCACCCTCTGCGACGAGTTTCTTTGTGCAGTCTCTTATTGATTCGTTGCTTGCTCGGGCTTCCTTGAGAAGATGGTCGTTGTATTTCCACACGGTCTCTCCAAGGGCTTCAACCATTGCGTCTAGCTCTCTGCGAGTGGCTAGATGGTTAATGTTAGCCCTGGAGGATAAAGAATCGATGCCATAAGTGACCGCAGAGGAGAACATCTCTTTGATCTCATTCTTGAAGGCAGAATAGTCCGTGTAGCCGGCGGAAACTACATCTGCAGCATATTGGGCGGCAACCTTTGTTAATTCTGTTTTGAGCATTTGGATTGAAGAGGGGTTGAAAGACAGTGTCCTGAAAGCTTCTGTTAGGTCATCTTTCTTGAGGACAGAGCTCTGAAGGGTTGATAGGGTTGCCTTGAGCTCAGAAGTTGTGGAAGTCAACTCCTTCAGAGCCTCTGTTAGAGGTATAAGAGCCTCTGTCGGCAATTGGGAGGAGAACAAGCTTTTCAACTCATCCAACCTCTGGAATACCGCTGTGGCAAAGGTTTGTAACTCCCCCTTCGTCACATAGGCACTCGGGGAATCTAGATCACCAACACATGGTGACCTAGTAGCCTTGGAGTGTAAGGCCCCCTCAGTGACTGGTTTATCGATGTCAGCTCGGGGACTTCCACCGGATCCTCGAACATCTCCAATTAGAGAGCCTACCAGTGTTCTGTCGATGTCGTGCCTAGTAGGTTCAGAGCCTAACTCGGTAGAGGGATCGAGTGAAGACTTTGGGCGTTCTAGACCCGCAGTCTCTATGAATCTCTCGTATGCCTCTGAAGCATAACTTGGTTGTTCACTCATGTTTGAAGGGGCAACAGATGCCTCTTTTTGAAGTGTCGAGTCCTTGGGCGAATGGACTCTTATTGTAAAACCACCATTCTTTTGAGAGGATGTTGGAGTAGATTGAGGTTCCCGGACTGTGCATTCGACAGAGGAYGAAAGAATGTCCTCTGCTAGGTTTGCTGGTTTAGGGCTCARCGTGTGCATGCTTTTTTCAATAGGGGTTCCCTCTAGAACAGGGTCCCTAGTAATGTGGGTTGCACTAGGAGGGGGGCTTGGGTGTGTGCCTTCGACATCTTTTTCGCCCTCATCTAACTCCAATTCTTCTTCTTCGTCGTGTAGTACGACTTCTGTCCCCAAATCTACCACCTCTGTGGGTGCTTTAAACCCTTGTTGGAGGTTGAAGATTACATCGTGAATTTGCTCTGTTGGGGACTCTACTTGAACACTCTTGCGCAACCTTCTGCGCTTAGGAGCAGTCTCTGCTGGGCTTTCTTGGATTTCAGCCTCTATGACCTCAACCTCTGTGGGTTGGGCCTTCTTCAATTTCTTCTTTTTCGGTTTTGGTAGAGGACTGCTTGGACCCTCTTCTTCTGTGGGTCTCTTCTTCCCTTTTCTTTTCTCAGAAGGATCAACATCCTTGTGAGTCTTCTTTACCTTCTTAGAGCTTCGTGGGGGACTAATTACCCTTGGTCTTTCCTCACTCATCTCCCTAGCCTCTTCAGGCTCCTCCCTTCTTCCCTCAACCCTCATTTTATGCACTCTCTCTTCTATAGGGATACCTATGCGTGGAGGGGTTTCAGGGACCGGCTCTGGCCGCCTGTATCCACGTCTATACGCTTTCCTATCTCATCTGCTATGGTATTTGAGCATGGCTTTTGATAGTGGCCTTGGGCTTCTATACCCTAGCTCATGCTCTGTGGGGTGGAACTCCTTCATTGGATACAATCGTG